CCTATAGCACACACACACACACACACACATACCCACACACCCCACACAAAATAGATACACACATCATATACACATATCCCCCACACTATACTATAGACACACACACCACAGTCACACAAACACTACCCCTCACTACATGATACACACACACACAGCATGAACACATACACACATTATAGACATACATGTAAACCTATGAATAGACCACCTCCCACATCATATACTCATACACAAACCCGCATACCATAGACACACATACACCACAGATATGTACACTACACATACACTGTATACAACCCCCACATAGGTCATTCCCTGTGGAAAGAGACTTGGGGTCTCTCTCAGCAGGGCTCTCTCAGACCCTGATCCCTGTGTGTGACTCACAGAAACAGCAGTGTCCCCGCAAATGTCTCCAGGACAGGAAGAAGGTCCCTGGTCTCTTCCTGCCCTCCGCTCAGTGAGGACGGGTGAAGAATGTGATCTTGGAGCCCTGCACCGTCTTAAATATAGCAGCGCTGAGACAGTGTGATGACAATGGATGGGAAGTATGGTGAGGGTGGAGGCAGAGGGGAGGGCCGCGCCTTCCTGCCAGCGCTGCTGGGCAGCAGCAACAGGTGGGGTGGCCCCCACTACTCATGCTGCTCCTCCCCCACCTCTAGCCTTTCCACCCCACCCCATTCCCTGCCTAGAGCGAACAGTAACGCCTAGAGCTCCAGCCTGGTTTGGGGAAGGTGGACACGCTGTGTTCCTAGCTATAGAAATTTGTTCTCAATTCTCCTTCCGGCTGCGGGGTACCTTGGGGACAGCTTTCAGCTTCCCTGATCTGAATTCCTTCTTGAAAGACAGAGACAGCGTGCCGGGGTACCGAGCTCCATGCAGATATGTGACCCGAATGTGAAAACTCTGATTCCCTCGGCTAAGGCAGAGACGTGTGGCTTCTTCCGGTCCATCATTCTAGCAGTTACTGGCCTGGCTCCTGGTTTGCCCACGGTTGTGTGTGGCGGGTGAGGCAGGCCCAGGAGAGGAGTTGGGGAGCCATGAGGGAGGGACATGACCCTCCAGAGCATGAGCAGGTCTGGGAAGACGGTGCCAGCTTTAGGTTGGAGAACATGGCTTCTCTACGGGCCTCTTCACGGGACCACAGGCACCAGGGTATGTCACCGGCTGCTCTTCCTAGAACTTGGGAGGCTGTTCCCTGGGGAGAGGGCGTGAGTGGCACTGAGCTCTTCAGTCCTAATCTTAATCTCCTGCTGTACTTGCAAAGCCCTCTGTAAGCTTCCCTGATTCTGTCTCTTCCCCAGGCCGGTGTCATAGCAGCTCCCAGGGAGGATGCTGGAGTGCCTGGCTCCAACACCCTTTTCTTTAAACATTTTTTTTCTTTTTAAAAAAATTTATGTGTACGAGTGTTTTACTTGCATGTATGTCTGTGTACCACATGCATGCCTGCTAACTACAGAGGCCAGAAGAGGGCATCAGCTCCCCTGGAACTGATGAATACAGATGATTGTAGCTGCCCTGTGGGTTCTGGGAATTAAACCCGGGTTCACTGGAGCCAGGGCTCTAACACTGAGAAATCATTTCAGCCTGACCATTTTTTTTTGGGTTGTTCTGACACAAGGTTGTTACTATTCTGAGACAAGGTAAGCCAGGCTAGCTTGCAACTGGCAATCTTCCTGCCTCAGTCTCTAAGTGCCATGGTTTCAAGTATGTACCATTCTGCCTCCTCATCTCCTATTCTCCCATCTAGAAAGAGCTTATTTGGGTCCACACACCTTCTTCTCAGAAGAACACAGTCCTAAAATAGGCCTTTTTGTCCCTGCCCTCTGAGGCAGCTGGAAGGGACGAACTCAGACACAGGCCAGAGTCAGGGGCACCTCAGAGTGACTGTTCAGGATCCCGACCAGTCCCCTGGCTTTCTGGTTTAGCAAGTTACCTTTTTCTGGTTTATCTATATTCCAGGGGACAGTAATGGCTGCCTCATGGTCTGTCTGCAGGGCATGGTGGTACAGACCTGTAATCTCAGCATTCAGGAGGCTGAGGCAGATGGACCCAGGCATCCAGACCCAGCCTGGGCTACACAGTGAGACCTTGTCTCCAACTGGACCTTTTAATAGAAAGCAGACTCCTCAGCTTCCCCCACAGCACCAGACATACCGTAGATGGTTGACAAATGAGGGCTCTACTGGTCTCTCCTGAACTCTGGGGACATTGAAGGCCTTGTCTCACCACTCCCCTATCCATCTGGACACGGGGTCCATTCCCCTGTCTCCCTCAGCTGATCATGCATGGTGATGCAGCCCCAATCACTTGGTCCTTTGTAAGTATAGCCAACCCTGAGACGGGAAACAGAGTGGCAGGAAGATGATTTCAGTTCCACAGTTCTCTGTCTCAATGCTGGTCATAGGAACCTCTATTTACTAACGAGGGAGACTTGGCCTCTGAGGGCCTTGACCTCCTTTCTGTGTTTTTAGTTCATTGTTAAATCTTGAGATAAGTCTCACTCTATAGCTGAGGCTGGCCTCAGATCCATGATTCTCCCGCCCTAGCACCTTGAGTGCTGGGATTACAAGCATGTGCTATCATGCTCAGCCTTCAGCCTCCTTCCTGAGCCTCAGTTTCCTTAACTGTAGACTGGGAAAGGTTTTTAGATAGCAGGAACACTTACTTGTCCCATTCTCTCTGTCCCTAGCCCCAAGGAAATAATATTGCCTGGAGTACAGGCGGGCCCTCAACTTGTCTTTAAAAATGAATGGAAAGCTAGGTACATGCCAATAATCATACCACTTTGGAGGTCAAGGCAGGAGGATCGGGAGTTCAAGACTAGCCTCAACTACATAGCAAATTTGAGGTCAACCTGGGCTACATGAGACCCTGTCTCAAAGCAAAGCTAATTAATTAATTAATAGAAAACAAAAAAATGAGTGGATAAATACTGTCTCAGTCTATTTGACCTGGTATACACTAGGTCATTTAAAAAGGATAGACATTTATTTCTCATAGTTCTGAAGGTATGAAAACTCAAGGTCAAGTCTCATTTTCCATGTGTCTTAGGTTGGGTTACTGTTGCTGTGGTGGAACACCACAACCAAAAACAAGCTGGGGAGAAAAGTGTTTATCCGGCTTACACTTCCACATTGTAGTCCACCATTGAAGGAAGTCAGGACAGGAACTCAAACAGGGCAGGAACCTGGAGGCAGGCACTGATGCAGAGGCCATGGAGAGGTGCTGCTCACTGGCTTGTTCCTCATGGCTTGCTCAGTCTGCTTCCTTATAGAACCCAGGGCCACCAACTTAGCTGGGCCTTCCCTCACCAATCACTAATTAAGAACATGCTCTATGGGCTTGCCTACAGCCTGATCTCATGGAGGCATTTTCTTAATTGAGGCTCCCTCCGCTCAGATGACTTTAGCGTGTGTCAAATTGCCATAAAACCAGCCAGTGTAGCATGTCTCAGATTCTTCTTGCTGTGTCTTCATGTGACAGAAGAGCTGAAGGGGTTAGGACATGCCCACTGACCCCCTCATCAGGACCTAATCAGGTTGTAACGTTCCCGGCTCTTGACCCAGCTGCATAAGGGGTAAGTGCCAGCCTGTGAGGGCTTCCGGAGATGCTTCAGTGGGTAAAGTGCTGGATGAACACACACGAGGACCTGAGCAGGGCATGGGCCTGTAATTCCAGCACTGGGAGGCAGACACAGGAGGAGCCTCGCTGGCCGGCCAGTCTAGCCAATCAGCGAGCTCCAGGTTCAATGAGAGACTCGAAGAAATTAAGGTAGGGAGTGACTGAAGAGTCACCGATGCTGACTTCTGGCCTTCTCACATTTGCATGTGCCCCCACACACATGTAGGCACTCACACACACACAACACACACACACACACACACACACACACACACACACACACACACACTTTTTTTTGGGGGGGGCACCAACGTTCAGAGTCACCTGTCTTGCAGAATAGTTGCAAGACTAAATTGTGATCAAAACACAAGAAATGCATTTTTGCTTGGCTCCGTATCCCACATCTGTTTCCATCTTTCTCCTCTTTCTTTCTCCCTTTCATTTGTCCGTTATTTTCTTGGATTCATGACCAAACCAAGGGCCACTGGAGTTCTGTCACCTCTGTCCACAACTCAGTCTACAACCATCTCTTGTTGGTTTGTTTTGTTTTCAGAGAGCAACTGTCCATGGCCAATGGCACCAACTTCTGGTTGCTGTGGAGAATTGCCTACCCAGATGCCTCCTTCCTCCTGGTCCATGGAGATTCTGGATCTACTCCAGTCTCCAGGGCGGGCTGAGTGTGTGGGCTGGGGCTTCAGAGCTCTGATTCTCAAGGCAGCCAGGATGGGAAGCAAACAGGACTCTCTCTGGTCTTGCCTGTCTCAGTGCACTGTTTCTGCTCCACTGTCTGGAAGGTGGGGAGGCGGAGGAAGAAGTGGTCACAGCCTCTTGCTCGGGCTGACCCTGACTCAGTAGGGACACAGAAGGACCTGGCCTTTTAGAGACCTGCAGGAGTTTAGCCTTATTTCAGGACAGAAACCCAGGCAAGTCCTGTCTGTCCACAGAGCCGAGGGCTTGGAGGTTAAGGGTTTTAATCACCCCAGCCTTGCTGTCCTGTGATGGGCTGTTGGAGGATTGTAAATTGAGGCTGTGGATGGAGACACTGTTAACTTTAATTTGCTTGAGGGGGAACCTCACAAGGGTTTGCTAAAAATATAAACTCTTGGGCCTGCAAGATGGTTCATCGAGGTCAAGGCTCTTGCCAGGCCTGATGACCTGAGTTTGATCCTCAGAAACCACGTGGTGGAAGAGGGGAGAACTGACTCCTGCGTGGCCCGGGCACCCCTCAACATGCACGCAAAATAGATAAAACATAACACCACACACATTCTTTTTTTTTTTTTTTTTTTTTGGTAACACTTAACTTTTTAATTAATTATCTTGCAGATGAATTAGAACATATATAAATTCATGTATAGAATATATACCAATATTGAGAGCAATGTTTTTGAAGTTGGTCTGAAGGCTTTTGATGAACACACACATTCTTAAGCCTGGCACGGTACTGCACACCTGTAATCCCAGTTCTTGGGAGACACAGGCCATGAGTTCATGAGGGCTGCCATGGGTTCAAAGCCGGCCTGATTACATAATGAAAGACAGGCCAACTGGGGTTACATAGCAAGACTCTGTCCCAAATACTGACAACAAAACGTGTATTCTTTGTCTCTCTGTCATCTGTCTGTGTCTGTCCATCTGTCTGTCTCTCTCTCCCAGAGCAATATTGGGAAATTATATTTTCAATGAACTCCTGTCAAAATTTGAGCCTAAATGCCTCCCATAGGCCCATGCGTCTGGATGCCAGGTCCCCATCTGGTGGTGCTGTTTTGGGGGGCATGGGATCTAGCTAGCATAAGTGGGTCTCTTAGAGGGGGCATATATCCTCTTCCTCGCTGCCTTGAGCTCTGTGCTTCCCGATTCAACAAGGCCTGGGCGTCTGTGGTCACCTCATTCCCACCACGAGAGAAGGAGCTGCTGTTGCCTCCAGCACACGCTCCCCGCCATGACAGAACATTTTTTCAGAATCCATGAGCCAAAGAAAAATTTCCTCTTTCTCTTTTTTGAGACAAGGTTTCATGTAGACCAGGCTGGCCTCAAACCTACTACGTAGCTGAGGATGGCCTTGAACAACTTTTCTTCTTCCTCCTCCTCTTTTTGAGACAGTGTCTCACCATGTAGACCAGGCTAGCCTTTAATTCATAGAGATCTGCCTGCCTCGGCCTCCTGAGTGCTGGGATTAAAGGTGGAAGCCATCACACCCAATCAGCATCGAACTTCTGATCCTCCTGCCTCTTCCCCTACATGCCGGGGTCACAGGTATGTGCCGGTGCTAGGGCGTTTGTGAATGTTAAGTAAGCATGCTACCGACTGAGCTGAATCCCCAAGTTTTGTTGTTGTTGGCACAGTGTGTGTGTGAATGTGAGTGTGGTATGTGGTGAATGCACACATGTGGGTGAGTGTGTGAATGTGAGTGTGGTATGTGGTGAATGCACACATGTGGGTGAGTGTGTGAATGTGAGTGTGGTATGTGGTGAATGCACACATGTGGGTGAGTGTGTGAATGTGAGTGTGGTATGTGGTGAATGCACTCATGTGGGTGAGTGTGTGAATGTGAGTGTGGTATGTGGTGAATGCACACATGTGGGTGAGTGTGTGAATGTGAGTGTGGTATGTGGTGAATGCACACATGCGGGTTTTTTTTTGTTTTGTTTTGTTTTTTTGGTTTTTCGAGACAGGGTTTCTCTGTGTAGCTTTGCGCCTTTCCTGGAACTCACTTGGTAGCCCAGGCTGGCCTCGAACTCACAGAGATCCGCCTGGCTCTGCCTCCCGAGTGCTGGGATTAAAGGCGTGCGCCACCACCGCCAGGCCCGCACACATGTGGGTGAGTGTGTGAATGTGAGTGTGGTATGTGGTGAATGCACTCATGTGGGTGAGTGTGTGAATGTGAGTGTGGTATGTGGTGAATGCACTCATGTGGGTGAGTGTGTGAATGTGAGTGTGGTATGTGGTGAATGCACACATGTGGGTGAGTGTGTGAATGTGAGTGTGGTATGTGGTGAATGCACACATGTGGGTGAGTGTGCCCTGCCCACATGTGTGCAGAACACAGAGGATAACATCAACCATCCTGCCCTGTCACTGGCTGTTTACTCCCTTCAGATAGAGTCTGTCCTTGAACCTGGAGCTGGGCTAGCAGCTGGCAAGCCCCAGGGGTCCTTTTCTGCTTCCCTCTCCCGAGGCTGGGTTACCGGTCCACTCCTTTTTTTCCCCATGGGTGCTGGGGATTTGAACTCAGGCTCTCAGGATTGTGCAGCAAATGTTCTTACCTGCTGAGTTATCTAGGTCCCTAACTCTCAGTCCCAAGTTTTGAGACGAGGAAAACTCACTTCTCTGAGCCACATTTTCCTCCTTGGGAAGGATGGGTACCGCAGTGCATCACGGAAGGAAGATTAGCAGGAGGATAGACGGTGGAGACGGAAATCCACTAAGTGACAGGCCGGGCCCTTTCTCCCTCTCACCACAGCTGCTACAGTGAGTTCTCCTCATCCACGCTTTTGCTTTTCCTGGTTTCAGTTACCTTTAGTCAACAATATTACATGGAAATTTCCAGAAATAATTCATAAGTTTAAAACATCTCCCCCTCTTTCGTTTTTATTTTATGTGTATGGATGTTTTGCCTACATGCATGTCTGTGCTCCAGAGGTCAGGGGAGGGGGCTAGATCCCCTGAGACAGGAGTTACAGACAGTTGTGAGCCACCTTGTGGGTGATGGGAATCAGGCCTGGGTCCTCTGAACGAGCAGCCAGTGCTCTTAGCCACTGAGCCCCATAATCTATAAGTTTTATGTGGCCCCTTATTCCAATTGACATGATAAGATGTCATGCCATCCTCTTCCATCTGGCCATAGATGGGCACTATCCTGTGATCTGGTGTATCCACTCTCTATATGCTACACACCCATCGCTCAGTCAGACTGGCTATTGGTAACTAAGTATTGTGTTCAAGTAACTTTTACTGTGCTTCCTACAGCTGCCATTCTATTCTGTGGTTTGGTGTCTCTTCAGGTGCCTAATTTACAAATTAAGATTTATCACAGGCATGTAACACACCAGAGCATCTGCAGGATTTGGAAGCTCCTGTGGTTTCAAGCATCCTCTGGATATGACACTGTTATCTTCATACTTGCAAAACCAGGCAACTACATTCCAAAAAAAAAAAAGAGACAGAAACATGTCATGATGTTTTAAGTAAGTTTACCATTTCGTGTTGGGATGCAGTCACGGCTTTCCTTGGCTGCATGCAGCTTGTGGGTTCCAGCTGGACAGGGGTCTGGGGTCTCCACTTGTCCCCAGAGGATAAGGTTGGGGGAATGCTGTGGTCACTAGTCTTGTACTCCTGGTTCTGCCATTCCTTGTTAGGCAGGCGACTCGGAGACTCACCTTTCTCTGGGTGGGACAGGGCACCACAGGCAGAGCTGAAGACTTTCCAGGTTATGGGGTAGGGTAGGGCTCTCAGAAAAGCTAGGCTCACCTGAGACACTGTGAAACTTTGACAGCCTGCCTTCTAGCAGGATCCAGGCCAGCTATCGACCTGGGATGCCAGGGGAGGAGCGTGTGTAGTGATCCCTCAGAGGGGCCCTCAGAGGGGGGCCATGGGCTCCTCCTTAGACACTCCTGTTTCTCCCTCATTTCTGTTATGGTTGCTACACACATAGTTCTGGGAGCTGGCAGCCAGTTTATGGCCTTCCATAAAAGCGTCTCTGCAGCTCTGGTTGCACTGACCGAGTAAGAACAGGCCTATCATTCGATGACTTTTCACTCTTAAACAAAGTGAAGGCAGTTAACCTTTGGCCGGAGATACTGGGTCAATGACCTTAGAGGGAGGTTAAATATTAATGATATATAGATAAGCGCCCCACCTGTCACTATGTGTCATTAAGGGGGTGAAGTGGGGAAAAAAGGGGGAAACACAGGTGAGCACAGCGGAAGGGCCCGGTGTACTTCTGGAAGGCCACGATGACGCAGATGGAGTGTGGTGCTGTGTCTCAGGAATTTGGGACAAGAAGGTGATGAGGAGGGCACTTATCTCTCAGGAGCCCTTTAGGGGCCCTTCCTTTTCTGTGTTCGGCCAGACTCAGCCCCCCCAGAATTTCAACAGGGCAGAGAGCATCCACTCTTGACACAAAAGACCCTGCATGTGAGGGTGGGCTCCACGGCAGGCCTTTGGATAGGCCTGGGCCTCAGCTTCCTCCTGTAAGGCCCATCTGAGATGGGAGTGGTATAATGGGCATGGCTTCCTGACAGCGGAGAGTAAAGGATGCTTCCTCTTCCTGGGTACAGGCACGGGGTCAGGGGGCCAGGGTGGTATAGAACTGCCACTGTGTCACGAGATGGGGCAGACAGAGGCCTGGGGCTTCCTCCACGCCAAGAAGGCCCTGTGAGATGGCCTCTGTCCAAACAGCTTCCACCCACAGTCTCAAAGAGAAGGCTCCCTGCCATGTGTTGCCTCTGGGCCTGTTTCCAGAAAGCCCTGTAGAGACTCCTCCTGTCTGCCCTAGATAGCTCAGTCCTTGCCTGCAACAGTCTCTGTCCCAGGAGAAAACACCCATGAGCCAACACGCAAGGAAGGAGGCCCTCCTTGTGTTTTCAGACTTAAAAACAAACAAAACAAAAGACCCTCACAGTGGAAGACGGTGGCCGGGTATTGGACCCTGCCACAAAGCACCTCCCAGACATTAATGTCATCTTTGGTACCACCTCCTAAGACCAGTGTGATGATCCCTGTTTCATTGATGAAGGAGCTGAGGTCTGAGCTAGCTAATTCACTTGTTTGATGTCATGCAGACGACAGACATGTGGAGAGGCCGGAATATGAGCCCGGACATGCTGAGGCTCCAAAGTCTTTGGGTTCACGGTCCCACGCCCCGTTGAAATGCTTTTTTTCTGGACCCCTGCCTGCAGAAAAGTTCTGTGCAGCACACCCCTCACCTTATGACGGTCTAACAGGCTATTCCAGGGTGACGCCTCCCACAGAAGAGCAAAGAAGGGGCTTCTGGCAGGGAGTGAGCCCCGAGCCACACTCTGCCCTGAAGTTTTGCCATGGTGCTGCCTCCGGCCTTGGCAGAGTGCCTGTTAGGCTGGGTCTCCTCGCTTCCAATCTGAGCTCCTTCAGAGAAGGCGGATGCCTCACTTTTAGTTAAACTACATTAGGGAGCTGGCCAGGAAGCAAGTGAAGATAGGCAGCCTCTAGCCCCATGTCCTAGGAGCTGAGGGGTAGAGTGGGGTGGGTCTCCAGGAGGTTTCCCTGCATTACCCCACTCCGTCTGTCCTACCTGCCTGGCTCTGTGGCACAGGCCATTTGCACATGCCACTTCTCCGCTAGAGCCCTCACCGTACGCTTGGATCCCCACTTGGGCCCCAAATCTCCCTTTCGCTGGTTCTCGCCAGGGCACCCACCTGGAGCTGGCCTTCAGGAGTTTGTGGCCTAGTGGGTGTGGGGTTGTCAGCCAGGTTGGGCAGGAGGAAGCTCAGGCCTGCTTGCTCTGATCTTCCTTCAGGATTCCCACTGCACAGTCAGGGCCAAGCCTTTGAAAAGAGAGTCCAGTTCTGTGGACTGTTCCAGCTCGGAGGCTGCAACACTGTGGCTCATGGCCTCAGCCTCAGTCCCTGGACCCTCGTCCTTGGGGCACACGAGGGAGTCCAGCAGGCCCCAGGGACTTGGTTCCTGGTTGGAGGGGGAACATGAGAGGGAGTGGGTGTGCAAAGGGAGGGAGACAGGGTGGCCCTCGATCTGGACAGAGGACAGGAGGGAGAGCGCCCCCTTCAGGTACCGTGGTGTCTCTGGCGCTCTGCTGTGCAGTGCATGAAGGTCAGGCCCTCTGTCTGTGCAAAATTCCAGAGGTAGGGGGAGTGACTTTGGTCTTTTTATCTCCTCCTGAGCCAAGGAGGTGACTCCCTGCAGAGAAAAGTCCCCTGGGAGACAGCTTCCAGCAAGAGTGTCTTCCTGAGGCTGACCCTTTGGCACGGGGTGTTTGGGACTGGAGAGGCGCTCAGGAGTGGAGTCTTTGCCAGTGTCCTCCCCACACACAGCGTAGGACGCAGGCCAGCTGTCCAGAATGCCTTGCCCGGTGTGGGTGGAAGGATGGGTCTTCATCACCTGCTGTGGTGAGTAGACTAGAGTTTTGGCATCAGAGGCTACCTGAGGTGCATAGGAAGGGGGCTGGACCTCAGGGACAGCCTTTGGGGCATAGGATGGTGGGGACAATGTCTGCTGAGGTGGTGCTTTGGTGGGCCGGAGGATGGAGACATCTGACTGCCCTATGTAGGTGACCTCAGGCAGGCTGTGCCGCTGTGCAGCTCCAGGTGGCTCCCTGGGCCCAGAGACCACCACCTGGGAGTACTGGATGGGCTGAGCCAGACTGCTGGGGCCACTGAGGTCCAAGACAGGGATCAGAACACGCTCCTGGATGAAGCGTAGCGGCTGGAAGGACAGGACACGCTGGACATTCTGTGGGAAGACAAGAATCCACCTTTTAGGGCATGCTCTGTTTTCTTCCTTCCTTCCTTCCTTCCTTCCTTCCTTCCTTCCTTCTCTCTCTCTCTCTCTCTCTCTCTCTCTCTCTCTCTCTCTCTTTCTCTCTCTCTCTCTCTCTCTCTCTCTCTCTCTCTCTCTCTCTCTCTCTCTCTCTCTCTCATGATCTTGTACATGATGTGTGTGCTCATGGGTGCTTAAGTGTGTGTGCATGCACATGTGTGTGGAAGCCAGAGACTGACACCCAGTATCTCTGGCCATTCTTCATCTTCTATATCAAGGCAGGCCTTGTATAACGTTAGAGGGACCAGCCTTAATACCACACATCCCAGGGGCTCAGGAGAGAGAGCTACTAACGACGAGGACTATTGTCGGGAAATAGAATCTCAGCACACCGAGCTCTTTAACTCCTCTGGAATAACATCCTGTTTACACAGCTTCAGTCCTGCTCTCATGCCCAGCTCCTTTCTTGCCTGATTTCTCTCTCTATATTTATCTACTGCTCCCTCTAAGTTCCATCTTAATTCTCTCGTCTTAGTTCAGCCTCATCTAGGTCCTTCTCATCTCGTTCTTACCCAGCTAGTACTTCCCCATCTGACTCTTCCTCATCTTCCATCTTGTCCACACGTTCTCTCTGGTCAAAATCCTCCTTGTCCCTCTCCGTTCTCCGTCTGTCTCTCCGTTCTCTCAGTTCTCTACGTACCTCCTCAGACCCCCCAAGTCTTACAGGAGTCCAGTTATAAACCCAAGCAATAGCAGACCCCTGGTCGAGCAAGGTCACCAGGCTTGAATTCTTGTGTGGTCCTAAAGGCAGGTAAGAGTTTCCTCAGACAGTGATTGTCAGGCTTCCAGGGTCAAACAGAGGGGTGATAAGAATCACACAGAGGGGCAGTCATTGTTAATTATCATTTGCAACCCAAAAGGGAAGTGACTAATGAATTAACTAAAGGCTAAATTTGGGTAATAGCTAAGAAGAGGGATCTTATGTGCTCACCTATAATCTTAAACGTGATTGGTAGAAAATGTTAAGAATCTATAAGTCGCTAGGTCAATGGGAGAAAATAAAACTGCCTTCTTTTTTCCTGTGGCTCCCATCTGTCCAAGCTATCTGCCGTTTTTTTCTGCAGAGTGGGGAAAGGTGTGTTTGGTCGCTAGTCAACCTGTGTACAGCTAGATGCCTCTGGTGATAGTTAAAGGGAGATCTGGAACTAGAGGTAAGATTTGGGAAAGGAGGTAGTTAAGCTTAATTGGCACATCTGCCAGGCCTTCTCAAACAGGTAGTCTGGATGCTTAAGTCTGTTCTTAGTACAGAGGTATCTCTGATAAGGTACTTTGCTCCGTCTGGGGATTGTCCAGGCTGGATGCTGCCAATGATGATAATAATTACAGGGAGGCTTGAACTGGGGTTCAGGCTGTACATAGCTGTCAGCGCAGGTTATCTAAATATTCCTTTAGTAGAGGGGAAATGGTGCCCAATCAATGATGGAAAAACACACAAGAAACTCACAGCAGGAAACAGCTGATAATCAAAAGCCAAATATCACCAAGGCTCCTTGAGCCTCAGCTTGACCTCTGGAAGGCCCTTGGCTTCTTCCAGGTATTAGCTTTGTTGTAATCAGCTGAAATCCTGCTTTGTATATTTTTGCGGCTTGTAGCAGGCAGGGTATTGATAATGAGCCCAGAGCTCACCAATTTGGTTGGTCTAACTAGCCACCTTGATTTGAGAATCCCGTGTCTCTGCCTCTAGGGCACTGGGTTTATGGGTGGGCGGCCACACCCTCCCAGCATTCATGTGAGTACAGGGATCCTAACAGGTCCTCATGTTTACATGGCAAGTGTTTACCCACTAAGCCAGCTCCATGTTCTGTTTGTGATATAGATAGGCAAGGCCCTCTATGTGGGTTGTCAAGGCACCGAGGTCCATTCAAGATGTACACAATCCATCCCTGCCCACAGAGTTCCCTCCAAATGCACCCAGCCTCTGAGGCAGCTCATGCTAGAGAGGCCAATGCAGAATGATCTTGAGTTTGAGGTCAGCCTGGGCTACATCGTGAGACCATGTTTTGAAAAACCAAACCAAACAAGTAAATGGATGTTGTGACATCTAAGGTCCAGGTTACATCTCTGGTAGAGTAACTTAGGTGATTGACAGCCCAGGAAGTAGATGACCCAGATTTTGGCCTTCCTCAGGGTTGTGGCTTGCATGGCTTTGAGGAACTGAGGTGGAAACGGATGCGGATGTGGGGAGGGCCAGAAGAGGTTGAGAGACACTGGATAGCCAGGACTGTGACACTATGTGAAATGCCCTCTGAGACCTGCAGATGGAGAGAGTTGGCTCCAGAGCCACACTGCTCAGCCTGAGGCTCTGATGGTGACCTTGCTGCTGGAGCCGAGGCCAGGCCCACAGCCACGTGGGGCCGCTGATGAGATGTGTTGACTCCCTAGGGACTTGGTGCTAAAACTAGATGTCAGTATTTGAAATTAGAGATTTCACGTTACAATCTGAAGCCTGGATTCTCATGGGAAAAAAAAAAGTGGCAGTGGATGGCCTCGCTGGGCAAACCTGGGTTGCCCATTTAGGGGCTTTTTATTTAGTTTTGTTGTTGTTGTTTTGAGACAGGGTCTCTCTATGCAGCCTGGCTGTTCTGGAACTTGTTATGTAGACAAGGCTGGCTGTAAACTCACAGAGATCCTCTTGCCTCTGTCTCTTGAGTGCTGGGGTTAAGGATGTGGGCCATCGTGACTGGCTGGTTTTGTTTCTTTGAAGCGGGGTTTTATGTATCCGAGGCTAGTTTTGAACTTGATATGTAGGCAAGGATGACCTTGAGTCCCTCCTGCCTCCCCTTCCTTGAGTGCTAGGATTACAGTGCTGGGGGTGAAACCCAGGGCCTTGTGCGTGCTGGGGAAGCCCTCTGCCAACTGAGCTCTGTCCCCAGCCCTTGTTACACTTTGTGACAGGCTCTTACTCACTCTAGCTAAGGATGAGCTTGAAACCCCCATCCTCCTGCCTCCAACTTCTGAGTGCTGGGATAGCTACCACTCTGCCTGTGTTTTTGATTTATTTCTTCGTTGTTGTTTTTTCATTTTTTTCTGTGTCAGGGGTGGGGGTAGGTTTGTAAGATAAAGTCTCACTGTGCATCTCAGGCTGGCCTGGACCTTGAGCTTTTTCTGTATCCGGGCCCCTTGTCCTGGGATTACCCGACTGTAGCCATACACTGAGCTTTGACTTTCTAGTCAAATAGTGAGGGGTTCTGCAGCCCCATAGAGCCCCACTGCTCAGCCCTTGGTGTTCCCCAGGACCTGTGTTCCCACTTGGCCCCGATGCTTTCAAGGGCACCCCCATTCAATCCCACTGCCCCGATCATACGCCTTCTTCACACCCTGGAACCTGCCAGACCATCTTTACAACCCCAATCTGCTTTGTGGCAGAACTTCACACTGTTCAGGGGCTCCCCTGTCCTCTGGGACTTGGAGGGTCTCCCCAAGATACCCCCCTCTAGCCCCAGGTGGCTGACTCACCAGAGAATTAGGAGGTGCAGGGGGCTTGGTGATGTATTTGTAGCCTAGATAGCAGAGCAAGCCGACGAAGAAGCCCATGGAGAACAGCACAGCACCTGAGAAGGAGTAGGCCCACGTCCGGTCTGCAGGAGAGGACAGAAGGAGGCTGTGTGAGGCTTGGAGGCCTCCGGGCCCCCGTCCTTAGCAAAATCGATGTGACCCTATCAGTCAGGATGAGTTCTTCACCACCTTCAAGGGCAAAATGCATCGCTAGCGATGTAGCTCGGTGGGGAGCGGGCTTGCCTAGCATTCACAAAGCCCTGGACTCAGTAAAGCACTGTGTAAGCAGGGTGCAGACCTGAAATCTCAGCGTCTGGGAGGCAGAGACTGGATCAGATGCTCGAGGCAATCCTTAGGTACAGGGTGAGTTAAGGCTATTCTGGGCTACATGAGACCCTGCCTTAAAAACAAAAGTGGAGCCGGGCGGTGGTGGCGCACGCCTTTAATCCCAGCACTCGGGAGGCAGAGCCAGGCGGATCTCTGTGAGTTCGAGGCCAGCCTGGGCTACCAAGTGAGTTCCAGGAAAGGTGCAAAGCTACACAGAGAAACCCTGTCTCGAAAAACCAAAAAAAAAAAAAAAAAAAAAAAAAAAAAAAAAAACCAAAAGTGGGATCTAAGGAAGGCCTCTTTTCAGGTCTCTTTCCTCAGTGTGGCTCCAAGTCACATAGCTAGGGGTCCCAGATGGCCACTGATGTCCCAGCCCACGCGGCCGGTTCATTCAGACCCCACATCTAGACACTTTCTAGTCACTCTCTGGGCCAATCATCTGTATGCTAGCCAATATCTTCCTTCAGCAGGAGGTGAGCCTGGTCAGGACGCAAGCTCTGTCATAGGCACGGGGACTTCCAAGTGTCTGCTATTCAGAGTTTGGTCTAAAAGGTTCTAGAACATTGGTTCTCAACCTGGGGGTTGGGGTGGGCCACAAACAGGGGTTGCCTAAGACTTCAGAAAAGACCAATATTTACATTACGATTCATAACTAGCAAAATTTTAGTTATGAAGTAGCAACGGAACTAATCTTATGGTGGGGGGGGGTCACCACAGCACGAGGAACTGTAATAAAGTGTCGCAGCTTTAGGAAGTTTGAGAACCACTGGTGTAGAGGGTCCAGACGGCTCTGTCACTCTTGCTAGGGCCTTTTTCATCTCTCTTATATCAGAGGAAGGGCTCCTGGCAGGAGAGCAGTGAGCAGGCTGGGTCCCCCTCCCCACCCCCGCTGGGGTCTGAGGGCCATCTTGCCTCCCTGACAGTGGTCAGAGGGTAGACTGAGGAAGACCTGTCCCCTGTCTCTGGCATTGGCGGAGGACCCTGGGGTGTCGCCAAGCCTCTGAAAAGTGACAGAGTCGGAGTGCTGAGACTTCTGTCTCTGTGCTGCCCCGTTGTCTTGGGATAGGCGCGGAGGGTTCTTGGCGTGATCTCCCCTGTTGTCAGTCGGAGTGGTGCTTGTGAAAGGCTGGAGAGGCAGAGGCTGGTGGAAGCTCCGGTGACCAGCTGTTTACGTGATCTGGGGTCCTGGCCCCTCATTGCCTCCTTCTCTCCACGACCCCCTGTGACCCCAGCTGGCTTCAGTGAGGGAGTCCATTACCAGACGTGGTAGAGATCTCAGAGTCCTAACCTCCAGCCTCCTCTAGTCCAGGGCCTTGGGGGATCTGGGCCAGCCCGAAGTAATGAGCTGGCCCCTGTCACTGTCACTTCTACAGTGAGAAGAATGACATGGACATCTCTGCAATACGCCCCGTGTTAGTGGAAAGCCATCGCTCTTTGTACCAGGGACATGGACATCGCTGGCCTGACAGATTTCCACAGGTCATTTCACCCAGGTGGAGGCAGGGTGAGAAGATAATGATGACAACCTGAAGATGAGGAACAGGGACATTAGAGGTCTGTTTTGCTCTTGAGCTGAGCATCCTTCCTGCCATGCAATCCTCTCTGGTCCAGCATCTTTGGTAATAGTTGCCTGTAGTTATTGAGCTTTACCTGCATGCCCAGGCTCTCCAAGTAAGTCACCAGAACACACAGAAGGATGGGGATGTTCTCCTCTTCTTGGCAACAAGAAGGCCCAGAGAGGTTCAGTGACTTGCCCAAAGTCACACAGCTCCTTGGTGGATGAGTATGACTCCAGAGCGTATCCTCACAGACAATGTACAATTATGCCTCAGTTTCCTCATTTGTGAAATATACAAGGTGAGACAACTTTGACACCCCTTTTCCCTACCAAGATGCTGGGATGCTATTCTGTAACTCCCAGGCATCCTGAGGAAATAAAGAGGGGATTCTGGGATCTGGGGAGAGGGCAAACCTAGACTAAGGTCAAGGGCAGGATGTTCACTCTGGCAGGGTAAGCCTGAGGCAGAAGGGGCTAGCTGTACACTAGATTGTGAGGAGATGGTTAGAGTCAGGCAAAGCTAACTGGGTTCCCTGACCAGCTGTGTAGCCTTGGGGAAGTTACTTAACCTCTCTGAGCCAGAGTTCCTCCTGTGTAAAATGAGGATTATGCTACCACCATTTGGGGTGGGGGAGTGTTTTAAAAATTAAGAAGTATATGCAATCATAAAGCTGAGAGAAGAGTGCATAAAGCATCTGGCATGTTGGCCACGGAGTCGTTCGTAACAGCAGGAAGCTTGTAACATACTTCGTTCTTTAAGGAGAAAGAATCTGAGGTCCACGGGCAAGAAACACCCGAGAAAAGCAAGCTTCAGCTGAAAGCAGCGTTGCTCTCAGGTGAAAGTGTGCCTGTCATCTCAGGAGGCTAGAGGCTAGCCTGGGCTACAGCGGGAGACCCTGTTTTAAAACATAACAAAAAAGCCAAACCCAAACAAGACCTAGTGTGGTATTGCAAGCCAGCTCACGTGGGGTCAAGCCCCCAGGAGGGTGGATGAGGAGTGGTGCTGTGGGATGGTCTGTATGTCAAGTGTGTTGCTGATTGGTCAATAAATAAATCACTGATTGGCCAGTGGCCAGGCAGGAAGTGTAGGCGGGACAAGGAGGAGAATAAAGCTGGGAAGTGGAAGGCTGAGTCAGAGAGACACTGCCAGCCGCCACGATGACAAACAGCATGTGAAGATGCCGGTAAGCCACGAGCCATGTGGCAAGGTATAGATTAATGGAAATGGATTAATTTAAGCTGTAAGAACAGTTAGCAAGAAGCCTGCCACGGCCATACAGTTTGAAACCAATATAAGTGTCTGTGTTTACTTGGTCGGGTCTGAGCAGCTGTGGGACTGGCGGGTGACAGAGATTTGTCCTGACTGTAGGCCAGGTAGGAAAACTCGAGCTACAGAGTGGCCCGTCCGCTGTCCAGAAGGAGGGTGGGGTGGGGTGCCTGGGGACAGGTGACACATATCCCATGAGGTTGGGGTGAAGGTCAAAGATCACATTATACACGCCCCAGCTTGGCACCCGCAAAGTGGTTTCTGTTCCGAGCCTCCTGCTTGCCAGGTTCTATTCTAGTGCCCTCACGAAGGAAGGGCATGCCCTGTCATGTCGGCCAGGGCTGGCTGCCCTCCAGCTGCGTCTCCTGCCGGATAATGCTCTGGGATTCAGGCAGAGAAGCTAGTCTCGTGCAGGTTCTGATGGGCTGAGTTTCCAGACAAAGCTGAGGACAGGGACCATTTTTCAAGCAGTGCCATGTACTGCTGTGCAGTTCTCAAACTGAGTTCTGAGGGAGACTACCGTTGGCAGAAGTCACCTGAACACGACAGTTCGGGTGGACCCCCACGCTCACAGACATCCCCACCGACTGACATCACTGTCCTGCTCTAGCTGGACATCACGACTAGTATCACGACTCTTCTAACTTGCTTGGGAACATGAGCCTACCCAAAGAGCAGGTGCTCCGCAGCTTTTCATAGTTTACTTCCCGTAGTTGGGGACGGAACCCCAAACCTTGCCTGCACTCTGCTACTGAGCCATAGCCCGAGTCCCCAAAATGTGCTAGAGGAAGGGGCCATGCCACTATCTCCCCAAGTAGATGACTCAAAACTATCTGTACAGTAACAGTAACAGTGCTTAGAACAGAGTCTCTGGAATTGGGCCTCATTCCATCATTCTTGTGTGACCTTGGGTAAATTATGTAACCACTCTGAACCTGAGTTTCCTCTTCTGTAGAATGAGGGTGATTGAAGTACCCCTCCCCCGCCCCCCAAGACTGTGCGGGAGTCATGGTTCATAGTGACTAGTCCCTGGTCCGCTTAGCAGACATTTGAGCTATCATTATCACCATTGTGGTTCATTGGCTTTGAAGGTATTGAGGATTATTTTATCCTCTCTGTCCCACCCCTGCACACCTCCTCCCCTAGTATATGCTCCTTGAGTTGATAATGCATATGTTTGCTTTGCCAGAGTTTACACAAAGCTGGCCAGAGGAAAGAAATTCAGGCGTTGGCTGAGGGCGGTGATTAAACATTCACTAAGTGAACCCATTAGACAACTCAGCTATGGATAAACAAAGATCAATCTTAATACGACACCACCAGTCTCTAAGGGTTCTCAGAGGCATGCTGAGCATCCCCTTGGTTACAGGGAGGAAGGAATGAGGTTAAGCTGGGCACCCAGGAATCCTCCCCCGACGACCTCAGTTGAACTCACCAGGCAGCGTCCTCACTTGGCACACATAGGGGGCGCTCTCCTTGGACCACATTGGAGCCAGAATTGTGATGTACCCGAGGAACTGTGTGTCGGGGGTCAGACCCAGGAACTCATATTCTCTCTGTTTGCCTTCAAGGTGCTGAAATGGACAGAGGACCCAGTGTGACTCACACACACACACACACACACACACACACACACACACACACACCCATACACATGTACAAAACACGCCTCTTCACCACACTGACTAAGATGACCCCCCCTCAGCCTGCCTGACCGGGCAGCTCAGCTGGTGGCCTTTCACTCTGCTCCATCTTCTTTTATCATTTCTCAGAGAACCTGGTCTGTCATATTGCGGCGCCTACAGATACCAGCTGCTGCGGTGACAGCATGATTGCCACCGCCATCCCTGCCCCGCCCCTGCCCGCTCCATCATCAACCCCGCCCCCACTCTCTGTTCCTCCCCCCCCCCTCCTGCCCTGCTCTCCCCAGCCTGGGCTCTGCCGTGGCCCCTGGCTGGTCACTCACCTCTGCCGTGGCCCCTGTTCACTGTCACATTCATCTTGGTGCCACCGTGATCTTTTTTTTTTTTTTTTTTTTTTGGTTTTTCAAGGCAGGGTTTCTCTGTGTAGCTTTGCGCCTTTTCCTGGAACTCACTTGGTAGCCCAGGCTGGCCTCGAACTCACAGAGATCCGCCTGCCTCTGCCTCCCGAGTGCTGGGATTAAAGGCGTGCGCCACCACCGCCCGGCCACCGTGATCTTTCTAAAAGCTACTCCAGAGCCTCAGCTGCTTGGCCCGTATCCACAAGGCAACGACATCCTAGTCAAACCCCATCTACAGCGCCCCCCCAAAGCTCTGGGCATGCAGGGCCCTGGGCCGCTGGTGAACCCCTGACTTGAGTAAGCTGGGGTTCATTTCCGTCTGCTGTCCTGCTGCTGTAACCACTTGTGGTGCCCCAGGTTTCTCTAGCTCCCCTACCTTGGATCCCCCCAGCTTGCCTGCCTGGTGCCGCCCTTGGGGGGCTCCTGTCACTCTGTGGCTAGGTCACCTGTGTCGGCCCCTCTGTGCCACACAGGATGAACTCTTCACCCATCTTTATCTCTGTCTGGTCACTTAATGATCTTGTCTGGACCTGTGGCCTCTACGGTCACTGATGCGTGTCTCTGAAGGGTTTCTGATGGACAAAACAAACCCCTTCTGGGTGGCACCAGGCAGGCACTCCCACACTACATGTTCCCAGACCCCACCCTTAACACTGCTTCCTGTCCTCAAATTCTCTTTATAACTTCTAACTTTCCTCACCTTGGAGACCCAAACTTAACTTGTCCTCTGTGGTTAACGCCTTCCCTTAAAGGAGCAGGACTCCTTTTTTTTGACTTTTTCGGCCATGCTTTCTCTTTCCTGGACACATGAGCCAAGGTTTAAGGCCCTGCGCTGGTTGATGGGGGAGGGGCCTGGCCTGGTGGGGACAGGGATGTCTGCATGAAGTGGGTGGAATATGTGGCTTTATTTTATAAATTGCTCTTTTGTGGGGCTCATACAGCAAATATCCTGTGGTACAAGTCTGGGGCAGTCATCACGGCACCGCAAACCCTTCCCAAGCTTTCCCTGCCTCTGTCTTGGCTTAGCATGTCACCCTCTGGCTCCCCACCTTGCGCTCTTCTGTTCACATGTCTGATCACTTTTCACTCTGATTCTAGGGATTTAACAACTATTACTGACATGTCTATGACACTCTGACTGCTTGCCATGAGCTGTCCAACATGGACTCAGGTTTTGACTGCTTGGTTTCCAGATGGGTGCAATATTTTGAGAGGTTCTGGAAACTTCAGGAGGCAGGACCTGGGTGGAGGAAGTAGGTCAAGGGTCAAGGGGTGGGTCCTTGGAGATATTATGTCCCTGACCCTGCTTTCATATTTATTTATTTATTTAAAATTAGATGTGTGTGTGTGTGTGTGTGTGTATGTATTCGCGCGTGCGCGCACACACACCTGAGTGCAGTGCCTTTGGAAGCCAGGATCCCCTGGAACTGGAGTTACCAGCAGTTGTGAGTCACCTGACTGGGAACTGAACTCAGGACCTCTGCAAGAGCAGGCCACACTCTTAACCACTGAGCCATCTCTCCAGCCCTCCTCCCCTCCCCTCCTGTCCCTTCCCCTCCCCTCAATTTGCTTTCTATTTTCTGTGTATGAAAAGCCTTCTCTGCCATATATTCCTCCACCATGAATTCTGCCCGAGTACACGGTACCAGCAACCACACACTGAGTCCTCTGCAACCGTGAGCCCAAGAGCCAACTCTTCCCTTTAAGTTGTCCTGCTGGGTACTTTGGTCATGGCAATGAAAAGCAATTAATAAAATGACCAAAATGGAAAAAAAAAAAAAAAAGAGCTGTCTCAAGGTGCCGGGCAGTGAACCACAGAGGGGTGAGGGAGGGTCAACAGCAACCGAACTTTTAATGCCTTTTATCCGGAAGGCAGATTCCAACCTGCACTCTGTGGGGTGGCTGAAGCCTAGAGGCCGTGTCACTTTGCCAGAATAACCAGAGGACAGTTTGGGGTGATCCCAGTGACTGGAAAGGTGGGGGCAAATCTGAGATGGGAACACTCTGTGGAGGAGGCCCAGGTCTCTGTGTGAACTCAGCCCTACCCCTGGATGCCTTCACATACACACTGCATGCGTGAGGCAGCCTCCAAGCCTAGATGAAATAAAGACTGAGTGGAGACGTCAGAGAGTGGAGTTTAGCCAAGTTAACGCAAAAACACCCCAGGAAGTCGAGCACGGTGGCAGTCGGGAGGCAGAGATAGGACAGCTGCCAGTTTGAGGCCAACCTTAGCTACACGATCAGTTCCAGGTTAGCCTGGGCTACAGCGGGAGACTTTGTTACATCAAACAAACGAACAAACAACAACCCCCCAAAAGAACAAAAAGTAATCTACACCCCTTGGAGGTGTTAACACAATCCAGAGTCACTTCAATGCGGCATTCATAATATTCAGGATACTGTGACCCCAGTGTGACCAGAATGTTGGACTTAACACACAACACTTTTGAATCAGCTGTCAAATTGTGTTCAAGGAAGTAAAAGAAAATATGTTCATAATGAATAAATGAGGGTAGGTGAGATGACTCAGCAGATAAAGATGCTTGTTGCTAAGCTTGGGGATCTGAGTTCAATCCCCGGGACCCACCTGGAGGAAGGAGAGCACTGACTCCTGCATGTCCTCTGACCTCCACACTCGTGCCCTGGCACCTGTGCCCCTTTACACACGCACAAAGTGCAGCGAGTAAAGAAATCTCAAAGCCGGGCGGTGGTGGTGCACACCTTTAATCCCAGTACTCGAGAGGCAGAGGCAGGCGGATCTCTGTGAGTTCGAGGCCAGCCTGGGCTACCAAGTGAGTTCCAGGACAGGGACCAAAATTACACAGAGAAACCCTGTCTCGAAAAAAGAAAGAAAGAAATCTCAGTAGTGTCTGGTAAATAGAAATATTGGAAACCAGAACTGAACAATATCTTATTTTAAAAAAGTGCAGAGTGGCCTTAACAACGGTTTGGGAAGGAGAGAAGACAGAAGCCTGAAGACAAATGGACAGGATGAATCGCAGTAAGTCGGAGGGATGGTGGTGCCCCTCTGTGGTGTGCTGAAAACCTCGGACTCTACCTTAAGAGGGTGACTTTAGGTCTGGGCATGTGGCCAGGTGCTCACCTAGCATCTGAAAGGCTCTGAGTTCTAGTCCACACGTTACAAAAATGGTGAGGAAAGAATGTGTTTTTATGGCATATGAGTCGCCTGTCAGTGAAAAAGGCCTGCGGGGTGCCTCAGTGGGTAAAGACGCTTGCCGCCAAGGATGAGGGCCTGAGTTCAAACCTGAGTGGTGGAAGGAGAGAATCAGCTCCTGCAAGACGGCCTCTGACCTCTCCACACATGCGCCGTGACACATGCATGCCCCTACATGGGCATACATGCACAAAATAAACCCCGAAAGGGAAGCTGTCAGGATATTGTCTGCAAAGATGTATTTTAAATATAAAGACACAGGCTAAAGGTGAATGGTTATAGAAAGGCACCAGGGCTGGATAGATAGTCAGACATTAAAGGCTACAGTTGAAAACCCAAACTCCAAGAGTTAGGTTCCTGAGACCCACATCAGAGTCCATCTTTCCAGCTTCTCTTTTGGGGCCTGAAGAGATGGCTCAGTGGTTAAGAGCATCCGAGAATTTTGCAGGATCCAGGTTCAGTTCTCAACACCTATATAATTGCTTACAACCATCCATAACTCCAGTTCCAGGGGATCTGATGCCTTCTTCTGACCTCTGGGGGCACCAAGCATGCATGTGATACACATTAAATAAACCTTTAAATATATATGTATGTATCTGCCATACACACTATAAGGAGACCGGAGTAGCAATATCCATGTCAGATAAAGTGGAGACAAGGAGACAAAAAGGGATGTCATCGTGACTAGAGGCCAACTTATCAGGGAGATGTGAGAAATCATGCATGCATGTGTTTCATAAGAGTTTCAAAATGCATGACAGAAAAATGCACAGAACTAAAGGGAGATAAATAAACTCATACGCCTAGCTGAAGAGTCCAGTACTCTTATTAGCTAAAAAAACAATACAGGCACTCCACTCCCCCCCCCCCCCCCCCGTCAGAAAAGATACAGATGGGAGAGCTCCATTGGGCTCCACTATCTAGTTGGTGTTTGCAGAGCACACTGCCCTACACCTCCAAACACACTTACTCTCTTTAGAAGCCAAGCAGATGGCAGGCCATAAAACAAACCTTCATGAGTTTTTTTAAAAAAAAAAAGACTAATTCAGATAGAGCAGGCTCACGGACCACAGGCCAAATTAAATTAGAAATCAGGAATCATAAAATCTTTAGTCCAACCCAAATATTTATCAGAAGGAGCTGCTTTGATGATGGGCTAATCTCTAGCTGTTGCCATGACGACTGCAGGAATCCTCCACCACCTGCACCCCTGGCCCCTACAGCACAGTCCCAACAGGCTCCTCAAGCTTGTCTCCCACAGTGCTTCCACACCCGAGGTTCTCCAGCTTCAAGGCGAGGGAGGAGTGCCCTGTGGGATGGTCACTACAATCCAGGTCTCAGACAGGCCGCTACAAACATCTGAGCAGACTGGGGTGGGGGTGGGGGGAGCTGATGGTCCGTCTCATCAGCTTGATTGAATTAAGAGCCACTTAGGGGACCGAGAGGCTGTCCCTGGCTGAGTCTGTGAGAGTGTGTTCAGGACGGAATTGCTGGGGTTCTGACCTGATGAATGGATCAATCCCTTAATGGGTTTGTAATCTGATGGCTTCACTAGGAAGCAGTGAGAGGTGGGAAGTGGTCTTCTGGGGAAGGAGGCCACTGAATGTGTGTCCTTGAAGCCCGCCTGAGTCATGCCCTGGCCTCTTCCTGTGTCCTCTCTCTGTGTTTCCTGCTTCTGTGACCTGCAGCACTCAGCTCTGCCACACCCCTCCTGACACCTCTGAGACTCCTATTGTCCCTTGAGTTACTTCTGACAGGTCCCACAGGAGCTGCTCTTTGACCAAGCTCCCTGGGAGGTTCTGACGCCACTGGTCCAAGGCACGTGCATGCGTGTGTGTGCGGGAAGACGGCCTCCTGTGGCTTCACGCTCTAGCCAGAACAGCCAGCTTTGGGCTTTTCAAAAACGTTGTGCCTGGTACTGCTTCTCTTTCTGATCATGGTGCCGCCACAGATGGAGGCCCTCCAGGGTAACTTCGGGCTTTGCTCACAAATGTGACCCTGTCCAGTGAGTGGCTTAAGCTCTCTGAGTCTGTGTCTTCTCATCTCAAAGATGAGGATGCTAGCTCCCATTCAGGGAGCTGTGATGAAGATAAGTGACATGCTTGCATGCCTCAGAAAGTGGCATGGACACCCCAGAGTTTTCCGCAGTCTCTTAGGTCCTGTCGAGCTGACATGCCTCGTTGCCTGTTCCAATTTTTGATTTAACCCCTCCCCCACCCACTAGGTCATTCACTCTTGGAGGGATTTTTTTTTTTTTTTTCCAGAACTGCAGAGAAGGAAATAAAGGTTCACCCAACTGAGTCATGGATTAATGGTACACAGGGGAGTGTACACAGTTGGATCATTTGCATACTGTCTGCCACTTGTGGCCTTTTGACCTCTTGTTAGGACCCATCTTAAGTCACTCCTGACACACAGTTTCCCCAAACACTTCCGGGCTCACTCCAGGATTTTAATTTCCTTTCTCTCTTTTTTAGACACAGACTCACACAGGTCAAACCTGCGGCCTCAGAATGGTCCCAAACTCCTGATTCTCCTGCCTCTACCTCTGAGCTGTGATTATAAGCATACACCAGCACACTTGGTTTCTGTGGTTTGGGGAACCAAATCCAGAGCTTTGCACATACTAGGCAAGGACTACTAACACAGGTATGGATGCTGCCCCATGGCTCCAACATTTTCTAAAGAGACTGACTGCGAGGTGGTGGCCCACACCTTTAATCCCAGCACTTGGGAGCCAGAGGCAGGTGGATCTCTGTGAGTTTGAGGCCAGCCTGGTCTACAGAGTGAGTTCCAGGACAGCCAGGGCTACACAGAGAAACCCCGTCTTGAAACATAAATAAAATAAATTTAAAAAAAAAAGAGAGAAAGAGAAGGACTGGAGATATTAATAGAACTATATTGTTCTCTGGGATACTGGAGGATATTAGGCAAAAAAACAATAAAGCTTTCTGAACGAGGCCCAGTGACACAAGCCTGTAATACTAGCGGTGATGCAGAAGGATTGCTATGAGTTTGTAGTGAGTTCAAGACTATCTTGGCTTACAGAGTGATACTCTGCCTCAAACAAACAAACAAACAAACAAACACCAATCAATGTACCAACCAAGCAAAGGAATCTGGTCCAACAGATATGAACAGTTTGCACGGTACAAAATTAAATATGACAAGTTTGTATGGTATAAAATTAAATATGAACAGTTTGCATGGTACAAAACTGAAGCCTTGGCTCTGGAGGACCTCCCTTGAGCATGCTACCAAATATGTGAGCCTACAGAGGTCGGTCGTGGCTCATGACCCCACTAGGATTCTAGGAACCCCACAAGGACATTTTTGGGGAAGTGCTGTTTTATATAATGCATCACTTTTGCCGAAAGCAGACTGATATTCTTGGGAGGGAAGGGGGTTCAGGAAGGTCTGGGATATGACCTATATTTACCATTAGGTAGGTGTGGTTGACATGGAGTTCTAAGCGGTAGAACAGGTCCTGGAAAATCTCCTCCAGAGTTAGCTGGTGGCCATCTTCCGAGAGGACGGGTGTGAATGTGGGGTGGATTAGCATCTGGATGGACCGCACTTTGGGGATACAGGTCACAGCCGGTGGTTTGATGGTAGCTAGAAAGGGGGAGAGAGAAAAGCTCAGAATGATTTGTGGAGCAGTGATGAATTCAACATGTGAAGAGAGGCCTTTGAGTGGCTGTTGTTCAAGAATGAGGCTGCCTGGGGGTGACAGAGGGTGGATGGGAGGTACTCAGGAAGGAAGGGAACTAGGCCTGCATCTGATGCCGTTAGTTCCACCTCGATGCATCCTAGCCCTGGCATCCCCAATATGTGCCTGGAACACCCTTCCCCTTAGTCTGCTGCAATGACAATTTTGGGGGTATCGATGGCTGTTGAGTCCAGACAGAGTCTAAATAATACCCGGTCCAATGCTATCGCTTCTACTGCCAAGACTCTGCTCTCTCAGGATGGAATTTTCCAAATGACCTTCTCTGTTTTACAATACCTTTAAAAAAAAGTATGTGTGTGTGTGTGTGTGTGTGTGTGTGTGTGTGTGTGTGTGTACACGTGGAGGGGATATTGGGTTTATTCTATGTGTATGGGTGTTGCACTTACATGTCTGTCTATGTACTACATGTGTACCTGGTGTCCAAGGAGACTGAAGAGAGGGTCAGATCCCCTGGAATTGAGTTCAGACGGTTGTGAACTACCATGTGGGTGCTGGGAATCGAACCCGGGTCCTCTGCGAGAGCAACCAGTGCTCTTGACTGCTGAGCTAGTTTGTCGGTCAGAGTGTTGGGTGTCTTGTGCTAGGCCTCTCACTGAGCTGGAAGTCATCGTTTCAGTTAGGCTGCTTGGCCACTGAGCTCCCAGGCCCCACCTGTCAGCACGGCAGTGATGGCGTCACAGGCCGGCACACCCATGCCTGACAATTTTTATTTTTACTTTTTTTACATGGGTGCTGGGGATTCAAACCAAGTCCTCACAGCTATATATCAAGAGCAGACTGAGCTGTGTCTCCAGCCCCTGCGTAGCTTTTTTAATAATATGACGATTGCTCTGGTGCTTTGGTCCATGATAATGTCAGCACACCAAAATCTGTCATCCAATTTCAGGAGTTCATGCGTCCCACTTGCCCTGAATCTGATTTGCACAAGTCTAACAAGGATTTGTTGCTCTCCAAGGTCTAGACCATCATAGCCAAAGAATTTACTCCCGCGAAACTGAGAAGCAGAGCTAGAGCTGGCAAGATGGCTCAGTGGGTAAGGGTGCTTGCCACCAAGTCTGATGATCTGAGTTCAGTCCCTGGAAACCACATGATGGAATGAAAGAACAAACTCCTAAAAGGTGTCCTCTGACCTCAACACACACAGACACACAGACACACACATACTCACAGACACATCCTGACATACACACATACACACACACACAGACACACACATACACACACAGACACACATACATACAGACACACACACACAGACACATCCTGACACACACACACAGACACATCGTAACACACACACAGACACATACACACACACAGACACATACACACATACAGACCCATACATACACACACAGACACACAGACACATACACACGCACAGACACACACAGACACACACACACAGACACACATAGACAAATACACGCACACACACACAGACACATACACACATACAGACCCATACATACACACACAGAGACACATAGACACATACACACACAGAGATACACAGACACATACATACACACATACATACACACACAGACACACACAGACACATACACACACAGACACATCCTGACACACACAGACACACACAACACATACACACACACAGACACATACGCACACACACAGACACACACAACACATACACACACACACAGACACATACACACACATACAGACAGACACACACATACACACATATAGACACACATCCTGACACACACACTGACACAGACAGACATGGACACACAGACAGATAGACACACAAAACTAAATAATAAATGTAAAAAAGAAATCATAAAAAAAGAAGGAAAATGGAGAGAAATATCTTCAGAAAGGAAAAGGAATTAGGATTCCACTAGAATGGGTTGTTTCATAGCTATGGGAAATCAGGTTGAGGAAAATGTTTCCTAGAATGGGCAAAGTTCGTGACACTGTTATATAGAAAAAAAAAAGAGGTTCCAGAACAAGAGTGTGACACTAGATCAGGAGGCTGAGGTGGAATCCCCCCATCAGATTGGCCCGTGTGCCTGTCTGTGGGGCATTTTCTTGATTGCAACTGATGTAGGAGGGTCCAGCCCACTGTGGGTGGTGCCATCCCTAGGCAGGCAGGTCTGGGCTATGTAAGAAAATTAGCTGCATGTGAGTCTGTGAGCACGTCAGAAGGCGGCTTTCCTCCATGGTTTCTGCGGTGAGCCTGCCTTGTGTCCCTCAATGATGAACTGTGATCTGGAAATGTAAGCCTTAGAGAAGCCCGTGTCTCCCTCGGTCAGTGTTTATGACAGCAACAGGAAGCAAACCAAGACATTGCTATTTTGAGGCTAGCCTGGGCTACAAAGTGATGTCCAAGCTAGGTAGGGCTACAGACAAAAAGCCTCTCTCAAAACACAGGGAATTGTGACTTTGTAAGTCAGTTGACATCACCACGTGCTTAGTGTGTATAGGGTTTGGCACCTGGCATTCATTCATTCTTTCATTCATTCATCCATTCTGTGGTCACATCTGGAGTCTCTTCTATGTACCAGGCACTCTGCTAATGGCATGGAACACAGTGGGTCCCATAGGCTGTCCTGAAGCTCGTGTCTTTGTTGGGGAGGTTGAGAATAAGCAAATGTGGTCTTTGCCAGTTGTGACCTGAGCCGTGAGGACGACATGAACAGTGCACAGGGGCTCAGTGTCTGTGGGGATTGCTTCTGGATTGCCTCACCAATGCACAAATCTGTTGTTCTCAGTCCATTGTGTAGAGTGGCCCAGTACTGTGCTCAGCCTAACACGGTCTCTGTGCACCGTTAACAGATAACGCCTAATACTATGTAAGTGCTATATAAACTGTTGTGTATCACCCAGAGAGCAAAGGGAAGAAGAACGTGGACAGACTCTCAGTGCAGATGCAATATTTTCCCCAATATTTTTCATTTGCATTTGGTTGAATCCGAGGGCCACTGAGATGAAGAATAAATAAAGATAAAGAATAAAGATCTCAGCTGGCTTTGACCGGTGGTCAGGGCTGGAGGCAGGGATTCTCTTCGGAGTCTATGGTGAACTAAGCCCCCAGACCTGAGGAGCAGTGTAGGCTCTGAGGCAGGAACCAGCAGAGAATGAGACCTGCTGAATGCAGAGTTCTACCTGTGACTGGGCTAGGCAGGACTGGCAGGGCCAAGGGAGGAACCGGATCTTATCTAAGACTCAGCAACAAAGGAAGAGCTGGAGGGCTTTACATCCTGAGAGGATGGACAAGGGCTACCAAGAGAGTGGGGAAATGAATTCGGAGCCCCAGCTGTGGTGGTGGGGCCTCCTCTGACCTAAGAAGTTCTGAATAGAGGTAGAAGAAAAGGAGCAACTCCTTGGGATGTGCCCTGGCCTGGAAATACCTTCTCTGAAAGCCATATCCCTGAGTGCAGAGATCTGCTGGGTCCCCATCCACTCCAGAAGGTCTGAGAACGCTCCCTTCGCTACCCTCCCCCCAGATGTGTGGCCAGCCTCTCCCCTCCCCCCAGATGTGTGGCCAGCCTCTCCCCTCCCCCCAGATGTGTGGCCAGCCTCTCCCCTCCCCCCAGATGTGTGGCCAACCTCTCCCCTTCCCCCCAGATGTGGAGGCCAGCCTCTCCCCTCCCCCCAGATGTGTGGCCAGCCTCTCCCCTTCCCCCAGATGTGTGGTCAGCCTCTTCCCTCCCCCCAGATGTGGAGGCCAGCCTCTCCCCTTCCCCCAGATGTGTGGCCAGCCTCTTCCCTCCCCCCAGATGTGTGGCCAGCCTCTCCCCTTCCTGAAGTGAGCAGGTACCCCCCCTCACTGTATTGCAGTGAGTTGAAACGTTCACTTCTCTTGGAGTCTTTTTGAACTCCTGAGATGAAAACCGTGACATTGGCATAGTAAAATTCGGTGAAGTTGCCTGTCTCCATAGTCAGGTTGCAGGACTTCTGCTTGGTCCGCTGACAGCCTGCCTTGGCCAGCCACTTTGTCTCTCCGTACCTGTAGGTGAAGGCAGGCAGGGAATGAAGAGCCACACTGGGCCTGTGGTTTATTAATGGTGATAAGGACATCTGGTATTGACTCAGCATCAAAGCCGTCTGTGCGGGCGCTGAGGTCAGCTCTCACAATGGTCCTTATAGGTGTGTTTGTGTTGTTCTCAAGGGAGGAAGCTGCACTTAGAGGAGAAAGCTGTGACCAAGGGTTTGAAGTGGGCATCTGATGACCAGACAGAACCCTGCCAGCTTGAGTTGTTCTGTGCTCCTTCCCACCTAGCCTTTCACAAGCCCCCGTGAGCCCTAATTTACAGGTGAGAGACAGAGGCTCAGAGATGGAGAGTGACTTGCCACAGGTTGAAGTGGCAGGACCAAGAAGGGACCTGGGCTTTGTGGAGGTGCTGGAGCTAGACATAGGTAGGAGGCATGGGTGCAGCTTCCGTGGACCCAGACGCGCCCATGACAATCAGTTGTTAGTACTTTATCACACAGAGGGCATGCACTCTAGTGATGCCATCTTACTCCACCTGAGATCCGTGATGAGCACACTGTCATTACCCACCCTTGACAGATGGGGAAACTGAGGCTTCCCTGACTGTCCAAGGCTACATGGTTGGAGCTGGCTCTCACACTCAGTCTGACTCCACTGCCTGTACTATTAACTCTATTGTGTCTTCCCTTTGTGAGGGCTATAGAAAGGAGCAGAGCTTTGTCTGTGTGGGGACTTTTGGAGTTGGGGATGTCCTGGAGGTGCTGCAGAGCAGGGTCAGGAGAGGGTAGGGTAGGATGAGATACCTGCCTCTTATACAACACGCTGTAGACCATGTCCGGGGTGCTAGCTGGTCCACTGTCCCACATCAAGATGTTTTCAAAGTTGCTGGACTGGAATTTCACGTATTGAAGGAGACTAGGTGTGTCCTCTGCAGTGTGAGCTGCGGGAGGAGAAAGCAGGGTGAGCCAGCGGGTTGGCACACTGAGGATCCCCCCTCAAGGAGGGGGGCACCTCATTCTTCAGTGCTGCTCCCGGCTCTCACCCTGCTTAGTGAGCCATGGTTTACACTCCAAGACATCCACCATTAAAGTGTTCAGGTCATTGTCTTCTGAGATCATCCCCACCCTGCACAGATGTCACTACCTACCTAATTCTAGAACATTTTCTATCATCTATCATCTATCTATCAATCATCTATCTATCTGTCTATCTATCTATCATCTATCTATCTATCTATCTATCTATCTATCTATCTATCTATCTATCTATCTACCTATCTACCTATTTACCTATCTATCCATCAATCATCTATCTATCTATAATCTATCTATCATCTATCCATCATCTATCTATCTATCTATCTATCTATCTATCTATCTATCTATCATCTACCTATCTATCAATCATCTATCTATCTATCTACCTACCTACCTATTCATTTATCTTCTGCGTTGCTGAGGATGGAACCCAGGGTCTGAGATGTTGATAGATGAGCACTCTGCTGCTGAGCCTTGGCCTTTATTCTTAACTTTTGAGGGAATTACCAAGGGGTTTCCTAAAGCATTAAATTCTACCCCCGCTCCCAGCAGTAATCAAGCTGTCAGACTTCTTTACACCCTGTGAATACTTACTGTCTCATTCACTTTTCAACACTGAGGTTGGCATCCTTAATCTTATTTTAGAGTGTTCCAGGTAAAAGCCCCAAGGCAGCACATGTCTGAAGTCAATCCTTTCACACAGTGGTGAAGAAGGTATTGCGAATTCTTCCCATTTCAGTCCCCACCTACCAGCCATGCTGGATGGCAAAGGAGCTTTCTACACTGAGACCTTCTAGGGCGCAGGATGCTGACGAATGGACAGGGTCACCATGGGGAAATTGTTTAAGCAATTTGATCTCATTTCCTTCAGTTTAGGATGGGGACAATTTGACTTACTTTGCAACAGACAACGATTACAACAGCAGCAGCCGCCGCTTGGGCAGGATGTGCCACTGCTAGCCACCGGCCCCAGCCTCTTCACTCACTGAACGCCCACCCTGTGAGATGGTGACTACTGCTGTTCCCATTTTATGAATGAGCTAGTCATGAGTACTATTGACCAGTGTCACAGTTAGCATTTGACAAGGTCCCAGGGCTACATGGACTGCTCAACTGAGCAGTAGAGCGAGGTGGGTGACCAGCACTCCATAGGACTCCGCCTGTCCCGAGTGTAAGGGAGGGGCTGGAAAGCAGGAGTGTGTGTGGGGGGGGTGGGGGGGGAGGAGGAATGTCCTCCTCCACCTCTGCTAAGTGGGGACGTTAGTGATCTGAGTCCTGGGGGGGGCACCAGTTCAAGTGGGGGGATGGAAGGAGGGAGAAGGACAGAAGACAGGCTAGGGAATTTGCAACAGAGGCTGGGGGTGTAGCTCGGAGACAGAGCAGGGCTTCAACCCCTAGTCCCCCAAACCCCAACCCCAGACTAAAACAGAACCTGTGTGTCAGCCATTGTTTCCAGCTCAGGCCTTTTGCTCAGCTTTAGACAAGGAAAGGGCCGGACAGGCCTGGGTCCCAGGGTGACCAGGGAGGGTTTGCTGCCTCTGAAGCACCAGACCCCACCTGGGGTGAGGAAGAAGGGGCAGATAATGGCGGCTGAGCTGCTCCAGCTCTGAACATACTTAGAACAGCCTGGTTGGCGAGGGTGGGAAAAGGGACAGGTGCAGAGCTTTGAGTGAAGGCCTTGAGTACACAGGTCTTTGATGTGTACGTGCCTGCCTCCCCCACACCTGACTACAGCCACCAGCAGATGGAGGGCTTGAGGGGAGGGTAGCTACTCCTACAGTCCAAGTCTACATGGCTTTCTCAAGAGGGATCTGTGCGCTGCAGGGGTGAGGGTGGGCAGACGATCGATCGGAACAGCCCATTCTTATTACTGCAGGTGCCCCGGTTACACCTCCCCAAATCTGGGTCAGGCTGGGCCAGCAGCTGTGGCAATCTTTGTTTTCCAGGCTTTCCCAGTGGGACCTTGGAGACAGGGTTCGAGTGTTCCCACTGCCTTTACCCGGTGTGGTGGCTGTGCTGCTGAGCCTGAGATGTGACTATCATTCTGCTCGGATCCTGGGCTGGGCAGATTCGAGGCCAGTTCTAGAGTTCTCTATTGGGGTGGATCTTTGGCTGGGGACAAGAGACCAGCAGAAGTAATACAGACTTCAGTAGAGGCTTCTGGGTGGACATGGGGGGTGAGCCCCACACAGGAGAGAGTAGATTTGAGAGAAGGCTGGGGTCTGTCTGTCCCCTCCAGGTGGCTTAGACTCTGCTGCAGGGCAGGCTGCTACTGGGGACAGTCCCGGGGAGGATGTCTGGGCTGGGAGAAGCTGGGAGCATCCCTGATTGAAGCAGGGTGGGGAGGACCCGAGTGGGCTTTCTGACGTGGCAGAGCCCCTCCTAACTTAGGGGGTCAACGAGGCTTCTCTCTCTCCTCTTTCCCTCTTAAAATCCATCTGCTTTCCCCTTCCCGCCTGCGTCATCCCTACACTTCCTGGTTGAAAGTCTACATTGTGAAACCCGGGAAAGGAAGAGATGTATGGTGAGGAGTCTGGCTGTCCAGCCACTTTATAAAAGACAGGTTTCACATTTGCGTGGAAAAACAATGTATCAGCTGGTGTGGGAGCTAAGGGAAAAAAAAACCAAACAAACGCATAGCCAACATGCACTGTGACCTGGAGCCAGCCTGAGAGCTGGGGTGGGAGCCTGTGTCTGAGGCTCATGTCAGAGACCTGTCACCTCAGGGCTCCTTTCTGCTCCCGCACCCCTCTTAAAGTATCAGGAGAGTCACAGCTCCACACCACAACTTGTGGGACATAAGAGAACACGCTTTGAGGAATTGCGGAGGTGGTGGCTGGGATCGCTGCTTCTAATCTCCACAGCCTGTCACAGGCTGGATTGTGAGGAAGTCGTGCTGATACTAAGGGCCCATCTGTACTGTTTGGAGAGAGCAGCCAGAGCAGGTTTGTTTCTTTAGGGACAGAATTCTGCACTAAACAAGGAGGAGGTCCATGAGACGGCTGGACCACTTCCTTCCATCACGTCTGAGCTCCGACTTCTGAGAACCATTTCAGGAGATCAGACCATGCCCACAGCTCATGTGAGGTTCTCACAGGTATGAACCCCCAAATTCACTTTATTGGACTTCACAGTGATAGTCTCATTTCTATGGGCACCCCGGCATGTTAGTGCAGCCCATCTGGCCACTCTTGAAGGAAAGTGCTTTTACTGATCCAGCCAGAGTGGCCCGAGGAGACAAGGGCAGAGGCAATGGATGGCCTAACTCCAGCTTTGTCTAGTCTGTCGCCCTCTTCTTAGTCAGAAGCTGAACACGAAGTGGGTACCCACCCCCAGGCTAAGACTCTACCTACTGAAGTGTGGGGACTCAGCACCCCCAGTTCGGACAGCTGGCCAATGCCTGCATACTGGAAGGTCAATTGAGTCCTTTCAAGAAGCTAGGGTCTAGGGGTACTCTAGCGTCCCCTCCAGCTACCTGGAGTAGGCCAGCTCTGTCTCCAGAAAAAAACCCGGCACCCAGTCCAGTGCCAGCAAGGAAGAAAACGAAACTGGTTGTTAAGAGGCTCTTGGGGCACGAGGAGGCAAATGTGCTCCTTGGCTGTTGGGGCAGGGGCATTTGAGGACAGGTTAGGAAGCACTCACCGGTTAGGGTTCCCACAGCTAAGATGGTCAGTAGTATCTTCATTGGGTCCCCCCAGGGCCCCTTTGGACCTCGGCTCTGGACCCTGCAAGGAGGCTGGGCTGTGTGTGAAGTCTTGCCGCTTTGGCAGCTGGCTCCGCCTGGCGTAGGGCGGGGAGAGGAGAGCAGAGTAAGATCCAGGCCCCGTGGGGGCAGGGGTCCAAAGGTACCTAGTCTGGTGCTGAGGAATTCCAGGGCCTGGGTGAGATCCAAGGGAGGTTCCCTTCTTGGGTGCTGATGAGGCACCAGCAGCAGAAGGGCTTGTTTATCTGGTCTGGTGACTGATTCATCCCAAGGGCCCTGGTGGTGTATCAGCACACTGAGAGGGAAAAGGCAAAGCCCAAAGACAGTCTTATCAGACAGCAATCGGCACATATCAAAGCCTGCCCTAAGAATTCATTACAAGAAGAAAAGAATGGGGCAAGTGAGGGGGCAATCGGAGTGCTGCTTCAGCAATGACTCCTTGGCTTGATTCCGGCTGGAGGAAATGCCGGGGGCTTAAGGCACCTATCCCGTCCCCCTAGGCTGAACAGTGTGCACTTGGAACAGCCGCCTCCTGGCAAGACGGTTGAGGTGGGAAGCCCAGGCGATCTTAAACTTGAATCTTGGATGAAGAAGCTATAAAAAGTAGGGGGAAATTGGAGTGGAGAGGACTCTTTCAAGCAAGCATGAAGGCCTGCGTTCAGACCCCAGAACCTCAGTGAAGCTGGATGGACATGCAGTTCCAATGTCTGTGATCCCCGAACTCCTATAGGTGGCTGGGCGAGAGACAAGAGGACCTGCAGACACTGGTGGTCCAGCTAGCCCGAGGATGCTGCAGTGAGCAACAAGAGATGCTGTCTTAAAGAAAGAGGAAGCAGGTGCTGAGGCTGAGGCTGTCCTCTAAGCTCCACACATATATGCCTGGCCCTACTCGCACAAACATGCACATGCATGCAGAGAGAAAAAGGTAATAATAACCAAGGGGGTTCTTTCTGCTGCGTTAGAGAGGCCAGAATCGGCAATACCATAGGACTTTAGATTGGGGTAGTGAGGATTGAAACTCCTCCCCCAGCTCTTATTCCACTTCAAAGAGCACTCCTGGACAGCAGCGTCCATGGAGATGAAGTTGAACTTCATGGTATCAAAGGTGTGTTTAAGAAATGTTTTTCTCCTTCTTGCTGGGCCCCAGAGATGATGGGAGAAGTCTATTTGGGCTAGGTATAGGGTGCACACGATAAAGGACCCTGCCCTGTAGCAATTTGCCTGGTCCCATTGCCAACTGCAAAGCCAGGGGATCAAACCCATCCACCTCACATGAGAATGAAGTAAGTTACATTGAGCTGTGCCCTCAGCCCTGGGATTGGCGTTTGGATGGAAGGGGCTCCGATTTATGGATTTGTGTTTCTCTCTCTCTCTCTCTCTCTCTCTCTCTCTCTCTCTCTCTCTCTCTCTCTTTCTCCCTCCCTTCTTCCCTTTCTTCCTTTCTTCCTGCCTTTCCTTTTTTTTTTTTTTTTTTCCAAGACAGGGTTTTACTGTGTAGCTTTGGAGCCTGTTCTGGAACTTGCTTTGTAGACCAGGCTACCCTTGAACTCACAGAGATCCACCTGCCTCTGCCTCCTGAGTGCTGGAATTAAAGGCGTGCACTACCACCCCCCAGCTAATTTTCTTTTCTGTGTTATAATTTAATCCTGAACCTCTGCTAAAGTTATCTAACCCGAGAACCAGATATACCCTATCCATAATTTGTAGAAATGACATGCCTCAGATTTGCCAGTGGCCTCCTGACAGGCTGAGCCCATGGGAGGCCCTGGGGGCACACTGGAGAAGCCAGGTACTTCTCACTCACTGGGACCCCATTTGGGTGGCACCCTAGCAGAGGCTGTATCGCCTCTGGGACTCTTTCAACTTTGTTTCCCAGCTCCGTCATGTGACCAGCCCTGGCTCTGCCCTAACTTGTCTTCTACGCTCTGATAACATCATGGCTGAAAGCACCTCAGAAAGGAAAGGTTTATTTAGCTTACAGGTTACAGTCCGTCGTTGAGGAAAGGCAAGACAGGAACTCACACAGGTCAGGAATCTGGAGGCAGGAGCTGACAGAGGCCATGGAGGAGAGCTGCTTACTGGCTTACCCTCCACGCCTTGCTTTCTTACAGACCCAGGTCCATCCTGCAGTCCAGGAGTGGCACTGCCCACACTGAGCTGGGCCCTCTCATGCCAACGGTTAAGGAAGAAATGGTTCTTCAGGACAATCTGATGGAGTTATTTCCCTCTTCTCAAATGACCTTACTTTATGTCAAGTTGACAAAAGCAAGCAAACAACAACAACAACAACAACAAATACCCCAAACCACAAAACCCAACAACAACTGAGCAGCACAGGTACCGCAGTCCTGTGGCACTCTTCTGTGGGGATGCTGACTGCTTCCCAGTTCTGACTGGACCCACAGTCTCTTGCCCCTTGGGAACCAACCCTTTGTAGTAAAGTCCCTTGGGAATGGACCCTGGTGGAGAAGGGGGCTTTAATGATTTAGGGACAAGCTGGAGTGGGAAGACTATATCCAGAGGGCTGGGCCACAAAGCACCAAGAAGAGACCCATGGTATGAGGAGATAGTGGTGGACCAAGGCAACTGGCCATTAGGACAAGCAGCAGCCACACCAGATCTGTGGAGCAGGAAGGCTTTCCTTGGGGTTCCTGGGGTGCAGGAGAGGAAGGAACCTTCTTGTGAAGATGTATTGCTGTGATCAGTGTAATAAAAAGCTGAATGGTCAATAGCTAGGCAGGAGAGTATAGGTGGGACTTCCAGCAGAGAGACCTCTGGGAGAAGAAAGATGGACTCGCCAGCCAACCTGGTTTTTATTGATAAGATTAATTAGATTTACGCTTCAATGGACAGTACAGAGATGAGGTAATGAGCCTTGTGAAAGAACACAGATTTAAAAATGTGGGTTAATTTAAGTTAAAAGAACTAATTAGGAACAAGCTAAGCTAAGGCTGAGTTTTTATAATTTATAATAAGTCTGTATGTCATTATTTACAGGCTGGCAATCCTGACAAGAAAGTATAACTACAGAATCTGATGAGGTGCCCTAGCTGTGATTGTCTAGGTCACACAGGAATGAAGGGGACATGTCCCAGTTAGCACCAGCTATGGGCTTGCCATAGCCTAGATTCATTTGAGGGAGTCACAGTTGAAGGACTGTCCAGATCAGATTGGCCTGCAGCCATGTCTGTGAAAGATTGTTTCGGTTGATGATTGATATAGGAGAGCCCCAGCCCACTGTGGGTGGTACCATTCCTAGGCAGGTGGGCCTGGGCTGTATGTGAAAGCTAGCTGAGAATGAGCCAGCACTCAGCACTCAATCAGGACTTCAGTCATAGACTGTCACCTGGAAGTGTAAGCTGAAATAAATGCTTTCTTCCTCAGTTTTTTTTAAACTAAATTAAATTAAATTTATTTATTTATTTATATTTTATGTATGAGTGCTCTGCATGTATCCCTATACACCAGAAGAGGGCATCAGATCCTATTATAGATGGTTGTGAGCTACCATGTGGTTGCTGGGAATTGAACTCAGGTCCTCAGGTCCTCTGGAAGAGCAGCCAGTGTTCTTAACCACTGAGCTATCTCCCCAGGTTGTTTTTGGTCATGGTGTTCATCACAGTAATGGAAGGCAAACTAGAACAGAAACTAAGATGATAAAGAATTTGGGGACTGGCAAAATGATTCTGCAGGTAAAGGCACTTGCTGCCTAGCCAGACAGCCTGAGTTGGATTCCTGGGACTTACGGGGTGGAAGGAAAGAACCAACTCCTCCAAATTGTCTACTGAACTCATACTCAGGTGCCACACTACACACAGCCCCCACAAACAAACAAACAAATAATGTAATTTAAAAATAAACTGGAAACATTATTTTGTATGTGTGAAAGAGATACAGAAAAAGACAGAGAAACACACACACAGAGACACAGAGACAGACAGACAGACACAGTAAAGACAGACAGACAGACACACAGACACAGACACACAGACACAGACACACACAGACACAGACACACACACACACACACACACACACACACACACACACACACACACACACACACAGCCCACAAGAGAAAGAGGGCACTCTGTGTCTCTGGCTTTGGTTAAATGAATAACAATATTTCCATCCAAGGTAAGACGTGGTGATTAATCTTGATTGTCCACTTGATTGGATTCAGACTCACTGTAATGGCTGGATAAGAATGGCCCCCATAGGCTCATCTATTTGAATGCTTAGTCACCAGGGAGTGGAATTCTTTGATAGGATTAGGTTTAGGAGGTGTGGCCTGGTTGGAGGAAGTGTGTCATTGGAGTGGGCTTTGAGCTTTCAAAAACCCATGCCAGGCCCAGACTCTGACTCTCTCTCTCTCTCTCTCTCTCTCTCTCTCTCTGCTTGTGGATCAGGATGTAGCTCTCAGCTACTTTTCCAGTGCCATGCTCACTATTATGATGATAATGAACTAACCCTCTGAAACTGTAAACCAGCCCCCAATTAAATGCTTTCTTTTATAAAAGCTGCCTTGATCTTGGTGTCTATTCACAATAGCGATAGACAGTGATTGGTCTATAGTTCACCGTGGAAACAAGACTCTGGACACATCTGTGAGGGAGTGTCTAGATTAATTGAGTTGGAAAGATCCACCCGAAGTTTGGGCAGTATCATTTTGCACTTTGGGGGTCCCACTGAGTGAAAAATGGAAAGTGAGTTGGCCCCGTCTTTCATTGTTCTCTGCTTCCAGACTGCGGATACAATGTAACCAGTCACCCACACTCCTACCACTATGCCTTCCAATGGACTGCCACAATGGACTGACTACACTGTCTTTTTTTTTTTTTTTTTTTTTGGTTTTTCGAGACAGGGTTTCTCTGTGTAGCTTTGCGCCTTTCCTGGATCTCGCGCTGTAGCCCAGGCTGGCCTCGAACTCACAGAGATCCGCCTGCCTCTGCCTCCCGAGTGCTGGGATTAAAGGCGTGCGCCACCACCGCCCGGCTTTTTTTTTTTTGCTGGCTACACTGTCAAACCACGAGGCACAGGAAGTCCTTCCTTCCTTAGGTGGCTTTTGTCAGGTCTGTGGTTTGAGCCATGGGTAAAGTAACCGATACACCAAACACAGACTTTGCAATAACAATGGTGGAAACATCATGTCCTGGTCAAGATTCGCTGAGCACTCTGAAATGAGAAACAGCACATATAACCCACAGACAGCACCAGCCTGGTAAAACTCATCCCACCATCAACAGAGACGAAGCCTTGAAGGGTATGAAAACATGAATGGAGCCATCTCTGGGTGGTAGTGGATTTAGAAGCCATTTTATTCTCTTCCTGTGGCACAAGTGCATTTTCTAAGATTTTTATTGGAGTATATTAGTTACTTTCCTGTTGCTGTGATAAACACCATGACCAGAAGCAACTTACAAAAGAAAGAGTTTGTTTTTGTTCACAGTTTATGGTGGTTTGAAAAGAATGGCCCCCAAAGGGAGTTGCTCTAATAGGAGGTGCAG